GGGTTACCATTCATATGGAATCCTCTAGTGGGTCTGTCCAGTAAACTTGCCTCTAGCAAGCACTCATGCGTTGCACCAGGTTGTCGGCAAACAACCTTGACAAGTGAGATTAGTCACTGCCTTTCGACAGGGTCGTTCAACACTATGATAGCATTACCGTATTATCTGTGTCCTCGGTCAAAATACTACTGGGACTACAAACGTTTCTAGAATGGCCACCATGTGTGATCATAGGGTTCTCACTATCAAGATTTGAAACACTTTATACCCTTGTCATGGTTCTATCATTCTAAGGACATATATCATTACATACACGATATAGAAGAATATGTCTTTTATTGATAAATAAACATTTATTACGGAATCAATTTTACAATAATTGATTGGTTTTAGGGCACCTACTCTAACATAGTTAACTTGTTTCATATACATATATTCAAAATCCTCTGAAAATGTAACTTTTTTTCCAACTTTCAACAAATAAAACATACCTCTTCTATTGTGGACCATTTAATAACCCAATATGTCAACAAAATCGTTCAAAAACACCTCTTTCAATTCAAAAAATGAAGTTTTTGGTAGAGTTTAAAAATTTGAGGACTGAGTTTTGATTGAGGGTGTAGGGAATTATGAATAGGGCCATTTTCGTCCTTCAAATTTGTGTTAAACAAGAAATTGCTATTTTGTGAGATACTTTTCCAAGCTATTTCTCAGTTCTCACCCTAAAATAGGGTTAAATAATATAAAATTCCCCAAGTCAAATGATAAAATGATAGTTTTAATAAGAATGGGCCAAATTTTTTTTTTAAAATAAAAAAAAACATTACTGAGAAGCCCAAAATATATTAATGAGCTTAAGCCCAAAAACATTACTGAGAAGCCCAGGATCGGAAGTATTATTGAGTTGACTTCAAGTCTGATTTTCTATATTCGAAATTAAACCCACTTTGGGTCTATCAAACTTGGGTTGTTAATGGCTTAATTATCGTTATTTGGCCCATTAGTTCTAATAAGAAATCCCCTGTTAACTTTTCAAACCTAATAAATGTGAACTTTCCATATAATTGAGCTTATTCCCAACTTAATCAGGTTTCCCAAGTTTGGGTTGCCTTAGGCGCAGTTTCATGTCATTTGAGCCCTTTTAACTCTTTAAAGATTATCCCTCCATTATTCGAGAATTAATTGGCTTTATCAGTTTGAGCTAATCTAATTTTAAAGTTAAAAGCATAGAATTAATTGGCTTTATCAATTTGAGCTAATCTAATTTTAAATTTAAAAGCATAGACCCCTTGAAGTATAATATAATAACAGAAGTCTTTTTGAGATTTCTAAAATAACAAATATTCTTCTCCGTTAATAAAAAATTTACACGGTTAAGAATTAGTAGATATTATCAAATTATCTTTTTACCCTTTATTTTAGCACCTAAAAATTAATAGCCAAGAAATTTTTATTATTTCTTATATCCAAAGATTATTTTTTTATTTTATCATACTTTGGCCAGATTATTATCAATACTCAATAACTCTTAATTTTAACCGGCACAAATGCTACATTTGATAAATGTTAAGTTACAAACATTTATAATTTTTTTCCTTCCTCATCTTCAAGAAAACCTAAAACGTCTATATATTAAGAGTGTGTTTGGTTCAGAGGATATTATTTTTACTAGGAATATTATTTAATAAGAAGATAGATAAACACCCCTGTGTGACCTGATGGTAAAAGAGCAAAAGGAAGTTCCATGAGTTCCTGAGTTTGAATCCCCACAGGTGTTAATAGGCCATGGAGACACCCTCGAGAACCATTAAAACTGAAAAAAGATAAATTATCTTAAAAATTACTAGGGATGTTAAATTGAAATAAATTAGTGGGTATGTTATATTGATATGTTTGGTTGATAGATATAAATTGATAAGTATGTTATATAGATTACCAAAATGCCCTTCTTTTTTAATAATAATAATAATATTATTATTATTATTATTTGAACTGTTTTTTAACCCCCTACATTTGAGATTTTGTTAAACAATAATGCTACAGACATCAAAGACCTGCACCGAAATTTTACACCAAATGACATGTCAGATGAGTAGACGCAAACACATAATATATTAACAAATATTCCGTGAATGAATGGTCGTTCATCAAATATGGACGGGTGTCCATGATTATTGGACGACCTTTCAATTTAAATGGACTCTTGTCCATAAGAAAATAACAATGGACTCCCGTCCATATAATATGGATAGGAGTCCATTTACTATGGACGGGCGTCCACCTAGAATGGACGCCCGTCCATTGTTTAAAATAAAAAAAAAATTAAAACAAAAATCATGGACACCCGTCCATATTCAATGGACGGGCGTCCCTTTTAGATAGATGCATGTCCATTGTTTAATTTAAAAAAATTTACACACAACATTTGAGTCTCAATCAAGATCCAAATAGTAAATGTCGCTATCCTTCATTAAATTTGTTGTCTATATTCAAAGTAATTGGACAAGTATCATAAGAATATGACCAAAACTATGCATTGATTTCATGCCTTTTATTCTTATTAGATCCACCCAATATGTTTTTATTGTTGTTACAATTTTGTTGAGACTGTGAAATTTTTTAATTAAAACAATGGACGAGCGTCCATCTAATAGGGACGCCCGTCCATTGTGATTTTTGTGTAAATTTTTTTAATTTAAACAATGGACGGACGTCAATCTAATAAGAACACCCGTCCATTCAGTAGGGATGCCCGTCTATGATTTTTGTTTTCAATTTTTTTTTAAATTAAATTATGGCGGGCGTCTATTGTTATTTTCTCATGGACGGGAGTCCATTTAAAATGAATGATCGTCCAATAATCATGAACGCTCGTCCATATTTCATGGACGGTCGTTCATTCACGGAATATTTGTTAATATGCTATGTGGTTGTGTGACACGTCATTCGGTGTAAAATTTCGGTGTAAGTCTTCGGTGTTCATAGCATTATTTTTTTATTTTATCATACTTTGGCCAGATTATTGTCAATACTCAATAACTCTTAATTTTACCCGACACATAAACGAATGCTACATTTGATAAATGTTAAGTTACAAACATTTATAATTTTTTTCCTTTCTCATCTTCAAGAAAACCTAAAATGTCTATATACTAAGAGTGTGTTTGGTTCATGGAATATTGTTTTTACTAGGAATGTTAATTAATGAGAAGATAGATAAACACCCTTGGGTGACCTAATAGTAAAAGAGTAAAAAGGGGTTTTATGAGTTCGAGTCCCCACAAGCGCTAATAAGCCATGGGGACACCCTCGGTGACCATTAAAAAAAAATAATAAATTACCTTGAAGATTACTAGAAATGTTGGATTTGAATAAATCGGTGGGTATGTTATATTGATATGTTTGGTTGATAGATATAAATTGATTGGTATGTTATATAAATTACCGAATTGCCCTTCTTTTTTAATATTATTATTATTATTATTTGAATTGTTTTTTAACCCCTTACATTTGAGATTTTGTTAAAACACTCCAACCACAATAAAAGTTCAAATTTTAATAAAATCACCCTCACCAACCCAAGCCAATGTCAGCTGTTGGCCACCATCGCCGGTAGTCATCGAAACGGTGCACGACCAACCGGATCTGGCCAATCGTGTGTCAATTTGGCCGTTTTTGGCTAGATCCATGACCATTAACAACTAGATTTGTGGTTATTAATGGTGATGGATGTGGCTGTTTTCAGCCATATCTACGGCCAAATCAACGCACGGCTAGCCAAATCCGACTGGTCGTGCCCCGTTTTAGCTACTACTGGCAATGGTGGCTAGATCTGGATGTAGTCTTGATTAATTTGATTGAAGTACAAAGGCAATAATATCTTAAAAAATCTTGTATATAATGTTAAAATTGTCCATGAAAATTCTTGTAAATTGTTTAGATAACAAGAGCATTACTGCTCTAAAAATTTATTAATAAGGAATAAAATTATAACAAAAATAAGATTATCAAATAATCTCAAAATACCTAGGAAAAATTACCACTTACATAACCAATGGTGATTACTATTATTAATATTGGAGGATTATCAAAATCTTATATTATTTGACAATCAAAATAGTAGTATTATAAATAATATAAGATGACATTATTGGAGTATTGTCAAATACCCCCAACCAAACGCACCCTAATTGATTTTTTATTATATATAGTTATGATGGTGAGATCAAAGTAATTTATTACTATAAGAAGGTTATAAGTTAATAGAGGTGTAATTACAAAAATCACTGTTTTGAATTCTTATTTTATAATTTGCGTTTTAGTAAAATGTATCAGGATTTTAATTCATTATTTTAGTAGTCATTGTTACAATTAGACAAGAAGAGAAATGAAATAGTCATGAGGATGATAGTATGAAAATACAAAAAGTTTTGTGCCAAAAAACTCTAAACATGTTTGAGAAATTAGAAATATTTTGGCTTTAACAAAAATATGTCCATACTAGTGAATTATTATGTAACCGCAAGTTAGAAGATGTGGTAATAACTCTAAAGAATAAATCATTGTTCTGAATAAGTTTAAATAAATATTTTATTTTAAATCTTTAACGTAATATAATTTTTTTGTTAATAAACAAATAATTATTACTATGTGGAAATAATTTTCTTAAAAGGGAAATTAAAAAAAAATATAACTTATTACAATATGAAGTTTGTTCTTATTTATAACTATCTCAAATTAAGATTATAATTTTTTATAACTATATAAAAGTTATTCACACATAAAATATACTATATAGAAAAATAATTACAAAATAATTTTGATTATTTAAATGATTAAATCGATTATGGCAGGAATAACCCACGTGGCATTAATTTATTTTATGCCTTTCCGTTTAAACCCACGCGGCTACCCCCTAAATCCAACCCATGCGCAAAGAGCACAAAATAAAATAAAATAAGCATTTATAGATTTTGGCGGTTAGGTTTAGGGACTAGGGTTTATTTTAATAATTTATTTTAGATAAACATTTTTTTAAAAGTGCAAGAGAGAATAGAAAGAACATCTTTGGCTACAGTGTCGGCCACTTCACTTCTCCGTTTCTTCCAAAATTCCTAGCAGGCATTCTCTCTCTCTCATTTTCTCCTTCTTTCTTCATTTTTATTATTTTATATTTATTTAATTGTTTCTGTTTTCTTTTTGTTCTTTTTTTTTTTTTTTTGGGTATATGTTGTTGTTAGGGTTTTAGAATGTGTTAAATGTTGAAGGTGGCACCCATTTCCTCCGAAGGTAAAACCCTAAACCCTAATTTTTCTTTTTTTATTCTCTCTGTACCATGTGCTTGTCTGAACGCTGTCGTTACGCTGATCGGATCATGACTGTTGGTTTTTTTCTTTTTTGTTTTCCCTTTTGTTGGTTTTGGGGTGTCATTCTCTTTCTGTTTGATTGCTGGGAAAACCAAAGAAAATTGGGGAGCTTATGGGGGAATAGGAGTGGGGTCAATGTGGGGTTTATTTGCTTGTTTATATGGCTTTATTTGTGATGATTGAATTGCGATCAAGTTATTTTTACTGGTGATGATGGAGTGAATAGGAAGATTGTGGCACAACTAATGGATAACAAGAGGAACAATTTTTTGTGGTATATTTGTGAGGTGGAATGGAATACCCACTTAGGAAAGAGGTCGATTTCTTGGATATTTTTTTGAAATATTTTGTGTTGTAATTGCGGTGATAATTTTTCAGAGAGTAGATTGTAGATAGCCTGTCAATAGTGTTTTAAGTTCTTGGACTAAAGATTTCATGTACAGCTATATATTGGAGATGATGTGAATTCACATCTAAATGAGCTAGTATCAAATTCTGGGAGCTAAAGTAAAAGTACTCAAGTCTAGGTTCTATCAGGGGGATTTTGCTCATGAAACAGAGTCTTGGATCCCTGTAATATATGAGCTCTTGTAGAAATGTATCTTATGGTTCGCCCTTTTGACTTGTTCTTTAGGGTTTCTGACTATTTTTATTTCTGCCACTCTTCCTTCATATCATACCCGCCCTTGATCTTGCATGTATGATGATCTATTGATAGGAAGCACTTTCGTATGTAACATTCCATATTAATGATAGGAAGCCCATTGCTTCTAAAATGATTTGATTATTTAAGAGACATAGTAACTCTGTAGATAAACTAGAGCCTAGAGATGTAAAACAGGCTGTACCAAAGTATTACCTTAGCTTATTACTGGCCTTGGACCAAGCTTGGGACAACATGGTTTGAAGCCCATGGCCTAAATGGTCCACTACTGGTGGTGAGGTGTGGTATGTAAGAGCCTAATTCTTTTGTTTTTATTTTTTTTATTCCAGCTGTTAGAAGGTCTATGTGTATTTTGAACTTAACCAGAAAGAAAATGTAAGAAAAGAATTAAAGCAGCCCAAATAGGCATTTAGAGTAGATTTTGGGCGACTAAAATTTTCTAGGCAGTCATTAGGGCTACATAGAACACTAACTGTTGCCTTGTGGCAGTGACTAGTTGCAAGACTCAAAAGGACCCCTTTATATATATATATATTATATATATATATTAATATATAATAATATATATATATATATATTGATGGGTACCAATCCCAAGCCAGCCAACCACAACAGAAGTAGCAAGCAAACAATCGAATTAAACCCAGAAAGCAACAATAATCAGTAGCCAAAATCTAGAAATAGTAGCACTTATATTGATATTCCAGCAACACAAAATACACAGCAACAAGAAACTTAACAAAACTAGCCAAACAGGAAATCAAATAAACCATAAACCAAAACAAGAAATCAAAAATAATGTTGGTCTTCGAGGGCCAACTCCTCCCACATAGTGCTGGACTTCGAGGGCCAGCAACCTCTCACTCTCCACTCTCCACTTTTCTCTTCTTTTTTTTTTTTTTTTGAATAGTTCATATCCCACTGTCTCCCCTTTTATTCTATTCCTCATAACAAAATTCTTCAATCACCCTCTCCCTTAATGTCATCTGTCCCTCCCTAAACCATCCTTAACACCTCACGCACAAAGAACCTTCTTGCCTATTGCACCAAAATCCCCTACTTCACACCCTTAAGTCTTTTACAATAGACCAGCATTAGGAGTGGGTCTCATCAATACCCCCCCGAGCAGTACCACCTTGTCCTCAAGGTGGGAAGATGCCTAGATGACAATTGTTTACCCGACACAACCCTGCTCCTCCACTCTTTTATCGCCCTCCTCTTCCTCAATTTCTTCATCAACCAATATCACTTGGAATTGTTTTTTCCCACATCTATGCCCTGGAACAAATCTAGCATCACATCTGAAACACAAGACTCGTTCTCTCTTCCGTTGAATTTCGCTCTCAGTCATGCGTTTGAAAGGTAAATCTTGCCGATAAAAAGGGTTAAAATCTGCTGATTTTTGCATTGTTGTGCTACTACTCTGGTGATCGGCGGTCGGCGCCGAGCTCGACTGCCTCTCCTCCCATGCTTGGTGCTTTGGCGAGGGGTTGACAGAGTATCGTTGCTGATCGATGAAGGAATGTCTTGGGGTTGTCAAATGAGTGATTGTGTTGTGTTTGTGCCCTATATCCAATTTCCCTTGATCCAATTTCCTGCCTTGACCCATACATAGCTGACTCGAGTCCACTTCCAGGTCCATTCTCAAATTGCTCAAGCCCACACTCAATTTTATTTGCTATTCCATGTTGACCCAGCCCAATTTTCAATTTCCCCAAGGCCCATTTCCTTTCCTCTATCCTTTGGGCTAATTCCATCAACTGAATTAGGCTGTCAGGTTGGGTCAACCTGGTTTCAGCCCTAATTTCTGCCTTTAACCCATTAAAAAACGCAGCTACAATAATCTCCCCTTCTCTGCCGTCAACGGCGATGAGATAGCTTCAAAATTTCGCCAGTAATCTTCCATCGTGCCTAGTTGCTTGATTCCCATGAGAGCTTCATACGGGCTTCCTTCTTGTGACCCACTGAAACGATGAAGGAGTACCAACTTGAAGGCCGACCAAGATGTTATCGGAGCTCGGGTCTCCATCCACTGATACCAATTGATGGCATCGCCGTCCATGCACACTGCTACTGCTGTGAGCTTCTCTTGGTTTGAAATTCCGTTAATGACAAAATACCTTTTTGCTCTAAATATCCACCCATAACGATCTTCACCGGAGAAGATGGGTAACTCGAGTTTCCGGCCCCCCAGCTCGTTTCGAATATGTTCACCATTGTTGGAAGTCTCTCCTTCAGTCCAATGACCCATATTTCGACCTTGACCATTTTTTGATGACCTTGGCCTTTCCGGTGAACTTTCTTTTTCTTTCTTTCCCATGTCTTCTTCATCCTTTCTCCTCATCCACGTTTGTATTTCAACCATACACCCACGAATGGTTCCCACGTCAACTCCCAATTTCGTCACCGCTCTTTCCATGTTTTCCAATCTTGATTCCATTCTTGTCCTAACCATTACCCAGACAACCTGCTCTGATACCAATTGATGGGTACCAATCCCAAGCCAGCCAACGACAACAGAAATAGCAAGCAAACAATCGAATTAAACTTAGAAAGCAACAATAATTAGTAGCCAAAATCCAAAAAAACTAGCACTTATATTGATATTCCAGCAACACAAATTACACAGCAACAAGAAACTTAACAACACTAGCCAAAACAGGAAATCAAATAAACCATAAACCAAAACAAGAAATCAAAAATAATGTTGGTCTTCGAGAGCCATCCCCTCCCACATAGTGCTGGACTTCGAGGGCCAGCAACCTCCCACTCTCCACTTTTTTCTTTTTTTGAATATTCCATATCCCACTGTCTCCCCATTTATTCTATTCCTTATAACAGAATTCTTCAATCACCCACTCCCTTAATGCTATCTGTCCCTTCCTAAACCATCCTTAACACCTCACACACAAAGAACCTTCCTGGCTACTGCACCAAAATCCCCTACTTCACACTCTTAAGTCTCTTACAATAGACCAGCATTAGGAGTCAGTCTCATCATATATATAGATAGCATGGCCTATCAATAGTGTTGGCTCTGGCCAGACTAGGGCTGCGTTGTGCCTGTAGAGGAACTGGGTTGGGTTGTATAGTACTGTGCCTGTGTAATCCAGGCCAGCTGGTGCAATCTGACTGCTTTAACTGAGCTAGTGTATTAGAATCTTAGATAGAAGACCCATGAATATAGAAGAAAATTAAATTTTTAGATTATACCTGATGTTTTCACTCTCTTGCTCTGTCTTTCTCGATAGTACAACTGGTGAGTTGTCTCACATGGTGCAAGGTTTTTTGTGTTAAAAATGAGAGTTCTTGGTAATTTTAAAAGGGAGTGGGTTATTTATCTACCTTTGTTGCTTGTGATTGGTATGAGTTAATACTCCTAGAAAATACAAGAGTTAAAAATAATAATAATATGAAGATCTTACTAGTTTGGTAATCCATTGTTTGTCCTTTTGTTCTGCATATAATGCATGCCAAGTAACCTGCTGTGCATTTGTGTTTTCTTGTTTACTGTTCATGACATGCTATTTGCTCATATGGATTCTTGAACTCTTTCAAATTGTGAGGCACCTATATAACAGTTGTTATACTTACAGTTACAGCAATAACAGTGTGATAGACTATTAATATCATAACACTGTGATAGACTATCAATGCCGTAACAGTGTGATAGACTATCAATGTCACAGCCATGACAATCATTGCTCGCTTTGCAAAACGATATTGCATGTTTTAGCAAAAGGGATTGTCGTGGCTGTCATTTTATTCTTACTTTGATGCTGCACTTTTTTTTTTTAATGATAAAATGCTAAATGAAGTTACTTGTCAATTTTCGATGAAGTTCTGGTTGAATTTCATAGATTATAGGAATCAGATCTATAAATCTTTAGTATACTTTTCCTCTCTGCCTCTTTCTTTCTTTATATATTTACAGTCTAGATCAACACACCTTGGTTGCCTGAGAGACTGACCAGATAATAGTTACACTTCCAGGTTTAATTCTGATGCTGGTACTTCTAGTATTTTTACAAATTATAGATTTAGGTACACTATTGTGAGTTCACTGTAAACCCTTTTCTTTTATGGTTAATAGTTTTTATCCGCATATTGTGCCTGCCTTTACACTAGATCTTGGTGGCAAAATTGCATTTCGATTTCAAACTTATGAGACAAGTGACTTTTAGACGTTGTGCCAAGTATAGTTCAGTGTAGAAATGTGACAACAAAAGCTCAGTGGTGTTATCAATACATAGAAGATTTTGCTGAAGTATCCTGTGGACAAAGTGTGATTACATTTTAGCTTGAATTTTTTGACTCAAGACTAAGAACTTAAAAATAGTATCTGAACTCTAACTGGCTCCTTCGCGTGAAATGAGTGTGGAGCAAATACAACCATACCTACAACGTCAGAAACAAAAACAAATACAAGTTAGTAAAATTTTATTAATGCAATGGGAGATTTGGACACAAGACACTTGATCAAGCTAACTCTTATATTGTGTTACGTTTGCACAAAGAACCGAAAAGTAAAGTTTGGATGCAAGGTCTCAACAATATTTAAGATCTAACAAGCTTCATGTAGCATTAAAATTTGGGAAAGTTGTATTTATCATTGATGTTCTCAGTATAAGTTCTTTGCTAATAAAATAATTCACATGATTTTGCTGGTAGTGGTGAAGACTTTTTTTTTTTTTTCCTATTCTTTGTTTAATAAGTTCATCTTGATTCTTTTGAGCATAATGATTGAGATACTGACTTGATCGCAACTCTGACTTATTGATTTTTATCTTTGTTTGTAGGTGCTTCAGAAACTCTGAAAAATCGTGGGAGACTGGACGAAACCTCTAAGAAAGGGCTATGCTGGTCTGAGCTAAAGCGTACTGGTATGTCACGGTGGGGAGTTTCTCGACTAGTTACCTTCCAGCGCGAACACTGCAATTCCAAAATGTCACCCAGTATTGTTAAGGAGAATGAAGATCAGAAAGATGTTGGAGAAGCTGTGACAGCTGAATCTTCAGGGTCAGAAAGTCGGAACAGAAAACGCCTGAAACTTGGCCAACTTAGAGAGGCAAGAACTACAAAACGTGAAAAGCTAAGGCCACAGAACAACAGTTCTTCTCGTAAGTCTAAGCATAATAAGCTTGAGAATACCAAGGACCGATGGTCTGCTGATAGGTACGGGTTAATCAGTTTTAACTTTTCTATTAATTGCTCGTCTTTGTGTCATATCATTTAACAATGAAGTTTAAATTTTGAAGGTATAAGCTGGCTGAACAAAGTATGCTAGAGATCTTGAAGGATGAAGGGGCTGTTTTTGAGAATCCAATATCTCGACCAGTGCTCAGAACAGCAGCTCGTAAACGCATTGGTGATACTGGGCTCTTGGACCATCTGCTGAAGCACATTGATGGTAAAGTGGCACCAGGTGGTGCAGAGAGGTTTAGGCGTTGTTACAACACTGAAGGAGTGATGGAGTATTGGTTGGAGAATGCTGACCTAGTTAAGATTAAGCAGGAGGCTGGGGTGCCAGATCCTAACTATGTTCCCCCATCATCTTGGTGGAAGTGTAGTGGTGGCTCTTTTCAGGATTCTGTTTGTGCTGGAGAGTTGAAGGTGCTTAAAGTTGAAATGGAGAAAATGAAGAGGTATGTAGTGAATATTCTTTTTTTTTGGAATTGAAATGCTTTCTTTTTAATTGTTATATTGCACCCCCCAGTACTTGTTTTCTGTGATCTTAGGTGGTCTTTCTTTTTCAGGGATATGCAGGAGCTAGTGTGCCATCAGCAGGAGCAAGATCAAGCTAATCCGGTTGAGGTTAATGTTGAACAATTGTTTGTTAAACATGATGGCATAATCATTGATCTCCCTTGAGGTTTCTAAATTGTTCACTTGACTGTTAAAGAATTCAAAATTTTGCGGGACCTTCCTCTGATATCTTTGAATTGTTCAGCAATTTCTTTTATAAAGGGATTTTTTTTTTTTTTTTCTATAAAAATAACAAAAAAATGCAAAAATATTTGTATTAAGCTACCTAGATTATTCGTTCGGATGATACTTTGAGGAAATTTCCAATATTATGTACTTTCTCATTCTTTATAAATATAAAATGACTTAAATTTTCCCAGTTAATAAATCCTGTTTTTTGAAGCTTCATTTGGGTCTTTTCCTTTACATAGGATACTCACAAGGAACTGGTGAAATGGAAAGCTAAAACAGATCAGCGACTAATGGAGCTATCAAGTTCTTTGAGTGGTATGCAGGTAGCAAAGCAATTCCTCCTCAAGTTGTTGAAACTTTGAACACATAACAATAAAAGGATAGACTGCCAGTGATTTCTAGTAGTTCATGTTAGAGTTTCCATTATTCAAGTTTTCGGATGATGTGCTCTTGTAATTGCGTGTCAGTTTAGCTCAACAGATTCATATCTGACATTTATTTCTCAACAGGACATGTACAGGGAGTTGATAAAATGGAAGGCTAAAATCGAGCAACAACTGATGGAAATATCAAATACGTTGATCAGTATGCAGGCATTGAAGCAATGCAATACCTTTAGCTCTCCAGATCATCCAGATCATGAAGGATGGGAAGATTGGCTGGAGAGCACCAACCTGGATGATATTCAGGAAGATATTGTACCTATGTTAGGGAACATAGATCCGGGAAATGTTGGTCAGGAGGCTGCATTGCGAGATAACTTACCTTCACCATCTCTGTTGAAGCCTGGCGATAGCCCTTCTCAGGATTCTGTTTGTGCTAGGGAGCTCAAGCTGCTGAAGGAAGAAATGGCTAAAATGAAGAGGTAACTAAACTAGCTAAATTGAGTTTGTGACATAACGTTATAATTCCGCTTAGGCTCTTTTTCTTTTCCTTGGACAGAGATGTGCAGGAGCTAGTACCCAGGAAGCAAGAGGAAGACCAAGCTAATGTGACCCCAGATTCTTCTGTTATTACCAATTCAAAATTAGAGCTCGATAATTCGTTACTTATTTTTCAGGTAATGTTGACGATATCTTGAGAAATTTCATTGATGCATCTTTTGGTACATATTCTGCTTATTTCATATCAATGAAGCGCCTCTCAGAGTTGTTTTCTTTGACAGGAAATGTTTAAGGAGCTGGTGAAATGGAAAGCTAAAGTGGAACAACAAATACTGGAGATTTCAAATACAGTTAGTGGTATGCAGGCATCAAAGATATAGACTCTTACCTTTTTTCTCTCTAAGATGGATATGAGATGATAGAATAGGAATTTAGCTATATATTTATGTCTAGACAACAGTGGTTACCCTTAGATTAGTCAAATATAGATATTTGTACAGAGCATATAAATCTGAAGCATATGGTTCTCCTATTTGAAGTCGTGGATAAACCAGTAGGATTTTCATTTAACCTTTAATTATTTGTCCGACGATTATTAACTTACCACCCAACTAATTTTTGAGATTATGCCTAACTGGTCTTAGGCTGTAGATGGGTTTTAGGAAAATATGCTGTTTGACACTAAACTCAAATGTCTTGTGGATCTCTTCATATTTATATAATTTACTTTTAATGTGGTGCACTAAAATATTGTTTCAATTGGATGCTTGTTTTTATTTCAATGGCATGTTTAGGGTTTATTCAATTAACACAATTTTAGAATTGGGATCCAAAGCTGCAGGGGCAAAGCACATGCTGCATCTTGAATTGGAATAATATTCCAACATCTCAACTTTGTCTCCACCAACCAACACTTCATTTTTCCTTTTTAATTTATTTTATAATATTTAATTTACAATTTTGTTTTGCCACCCACATGATACATTTAAATACGATACGGCATTTTTCGTATAGATGACCAGATTTACAATATTTTTTTAAAATCATAATACATGTATCATAATATTCTTTAACTAATTCATTATTATTATTGGACAAGGCAGATTTATGATGTTAAAATGGAATTACTGACTTTAATTATTACTAAACGTTATATAAATTTGTTGACTTGCCAGTTGCAACTAAGGCAAATGATAAGATTTACTTGTTCATTGCAAAATTAATGTGTGATATTTCAAAAATAATATAAAGCTATGATAATATAATTTATAAAGTAAATATTTTTTTTAATCTAAGGGTGGATGTATCTAGATCCCTATTTTTAATCATAAGTCTAATAGATATCCAGAATATTTTGTCTGGTATTGTATACATATTTTCATACGGACATTCATTTGTACTTTATATAATAAAATAAATGAGGCAGAAATGTCAAATCCCACCTAATCTTTTTCTATTCTGAACCCACCAATTAAACACAGTCAATCCCCACAACATAACTCATCACTCTTAATCTCTGTCCGAATCAAGCTCTCATTTATTATTTACCCAGTTCCCTGTTTCCCTCCTCTTCAAACCTCTCTCTTTCCTCTTCTCTTCTTCTCCTCTTTCATCAAACTTATATCTTACACCATGAATTATAATCTTAATAATCATAATGATAATGATACAACTTTAACTGAACCACCGTATCAGAAAACCTCCAGGGTTCTTCCATACGCCACTCAAAACCTTACTGACCTCTACACTTTAGGCAAAAAGCTTGGCCAAGGTCAGTTTGGCACCACGTATTTATGCACCCACAAGACCACCTCCCTCAACTATGCATGCAAGACCATCCCAAAGCGCAAACTTATCTGCCAGGAAGATTACGACGACGTTTGGAGGGAAATCCAGATAATGCACCATCTTTCAGAGCATCCACACGTGGTCAGAATCCATGGCACTTATGAAGATAAGTCTTGTGTCCATATCGTGATGGAGCTCTGTAAAGGAGGCGAGTTGTTTGATAGGATTGTTGAAAAGGGACATTACAGTGAGAGAGAGGCGGCTAAGTTGATCAAGACTGTTGTTGGTGTGGTTGAGTGTTGTCATTCTCTTGGAGTTATGCACAGAGATCTTAAGCCTGAGAATTTTTTGTTTCTTGGTGTTGGTGAAGATGCTGCTCTTAAAGCTACTGATTTTGGCTTGTCTGTTTTCTATAAGCCAGGTTAGTTTTTTATTATTGTTAACACATTGTTAATTTCTTGGATATTTTATATGCTCTTTTGGGTTTGAGTAATAGTGGTTTTGGTGATTAATCTCTATGTTCAAAGAATTAACTTTATAATAAGATTTGATAATCTTATAGTTAAAATTTCTATTTGATGAAGTATGCATTCTCTTTATGTAATTTGTTCAGATCTTTAAGTCTCATCAGTACTTTTGTGTTTCGGGACACAACTATATCTCTGGGATACATGTTATTGTTACTTCTTTGTTTACGAGTCTGTGACTTCTGATTCAGTGAAGTTATAGAGTTTGATGCAGCCACTAGGGAAACCTCATTAATTTGGTCATTTGTGTTTGTTGATGCGGAATTTATAAAGACTTCTGTTAATACCAACATGATGCACAAGGATTTATAAGTGGATAATAAGCAAAGTGGAGAATATTATGCAAACAAGTACTAAAGCTGCAGCCCCTGAAAATCCTAAATAACAGTTGTATTTGAGTCAATATGCTTTCTTATTTTTTCAGTATAAATAAGACCATTGTTGAAAGTTGGATTTTACTTGGATTTTTATCTTCTTTATATTTGGGGGTGAGGTTATTTTATATGCTTTTTTGGGTTTAAGTAATGGTAGTTTTTGTGATTTTGTTGATTAGTCTCTATGATCAAAGAATTAGCTTTATTTACTTTGTTTTGATCTTCAAGTTTCATCACTACTTATGTGTTTATGGGCACAGCTATATTTTTGGGATTATGTGAATAATGTTGTAATGTTTGTTATTCTAGGTAAATGGAGTAGCTTCCTATTCCTTCCAGTTAAGCAGATTAAAGAATAATCTATTGGATTGAAACATCATTCAAGGGAATGAAGTTATTTTAGGGATATAAGTCATTGTTTCTACTTTTTTCATGATTCTGTACCTTCTGATTCAGGGAAATCATAGAGTTTGATTCAGCCACTGGAGAAACCTGATTAATTTGGGAATTTGTGTTTGTTGATGCGGAATTTATAACGACTTCTGTCAATACCATCATGATGGACATGAATAAATGGATTATAAGCAAATGAGACCATTGTTGATAATTGGGTTTACCTGACGATTTCTTTTTGTTTTTTGGGACATTGCAGAGGTCTTTGACTGAGAATATTATGTATTGGATAGCTCATATGATTAGTAGCTCTGTGTTCTTATTGATCATGAGTAAACTCTTTGCGTCTCAGCATATTCTTCTAAGTTTTTGTAGGTTGATGCTTTTTTGTTTAATAGTTGGAAACCTAAGGTCTGCTTTGTTCATCCATTGGTTATTGCTATATCTGTAAAAGACTTTCTTGTGTTTTGTATTCTATAATATCGGTTGTCATCTCTGTTTGACAATGATTTCTGTTTTTCTTCTGTTTCATTGTAGGTGAAATCTTTACTGATGTCGTTGGGAGTCCCTACTATGTTGCGCCAGAGGTTTTACGCAAGTATTATGGACCTGAAGCTGATGTATGGAGTGCTGGAGTTATTTTGTACATCTTGCTAAGTGGCGTGCCACCTTTTTGGGCAGGTAGCAATAAGCTCTAGATCATGTTTGTTGTAGAATTGGTTTTCTGTACTTCTACACCATATCACCAATGTTATTTTTGCATCGCTTGTCACCTCCAGAAACTGAAATGGGGATCTTCCGACAGATTTTACAAGGAAACTTAGATTTTGAGTCTGAACCATGGCCCAGCATTTCAGATAGTGCTAAAGATCTCATACAAAAAATGCTTCATCTGAACCCAAAGAAAAGGCTAACTGCCCACGAAGTCCTCTGTAAGTCTCTTTTCACTTGTGTAAAGCAAGGAAAAATGCTAGGATATAAGATATGGCTAAACCCAACTGACAATATTATGTTGTTGACATTACACATTTTATCAGGCCACCCATGGATTATCGATGACAAAGTTGCCCCAGATAAACCTCTTGATTCAGCAGTCTTATCACGCTTGAAACAGTTCTCAGCAATGAACAAACTAAAGAAGATGGCTTTGCGTGTAAGGTTTTGATTATCTATTAGTTTTATTTTGACTTGCATCTCATGAATTCTCGCACTACCAAAAGCTGTTAAGAAACAACTAATCCTGAAATGATGACATTAATGGAAGGTGGAGAATTACCAAATATAACTGCATTCTGTGTGCTTGCTTTTTTTAAATATGATGGTTGCCCTTGGTCGTAAGGAAAGATTGGAGAGTTTACTTTCTGAATTCTATCTTGATTAATTCAAGGTCAAAATAGTTGACCAGAATACACTAGATATGGTTTTAATACCATTACTGTGCTGTTGCCGGTGAATTACTTTTAGTCAATGAGATGAGTGTAGGGGCAAATACAGATAAACCTATAGATATAAAAATCAATAAGCATGGAAACAAAAGTGTAAGAACATATAGGTTGAAGTACCAGAAAGCAAAAAAAGCAAAAAATAATATTTTCAGTAATCAGTATTTTTTGTGTACTTGCATCTACTGGGCATTGAGTGTAACATATGCCATAGGCAATTAGTTTCAAGCGCTTGTGGAGATCTAGACTCCTTCGTGTAACTTTGAACTATCATGAATGTATCACATAAATGCATGTAGCTGCCATCTTGGGACTAGTATATGATCTGCATTCCTTATTACCTTCTTTCCAAAATGAAGTTTGATTCCTTGTTTTAGTTGAAAATTAGTGTTTTTAATAAGTCCAGATTAGAAAATGTTGCAGCATGGTAATTAATGATTAATAATTTTGGGAAGTACATAAATATGTTGCACAAGTCATCCCAAAGGCCAAATTAAGCAGGGTTTCAGTAAGTTAATTGACTCCTAGCATAGCTTAAATAAGCATAAGGTAGAGTATTGTAAAAAGACATTTGTGTGCAATTTCAATTTATTTAATTAATGGCTTTTCTAAGTTCAGCTTGGTAGGCAAGGGACTAGTATGAAATATGATCTCCAAGTCTCAATGCTTATTTACTGAGATTTTCAAAGATTCACTTTTCCAACCCCTAACTAAATATCCACCTCATGTTTGGCGCTTTTACAGGAAGAGCTTATTGCTGTACACAATTTATACTTCCTTTTTCTTTTTCATTTTTATGAGTCTCACATATATGAACCACAATCACTAAACTCTAATGCTAAGGAGATTTGATCTCAAGACCCTATTGTATGGCCCTGAGAGATTCTATCAACTAAACTAATTAATATCCACATGTGGACGTTATATTGTTTAAGTGTCTTTTTCAGTAAGATAGAAGATGAATATTATCAATTACTTCAACTAATGGGTGTTCTTTGGAGAAATATAAAACATTCCTATGCCGTTTCTTTTTGTACTTTTGGCCCCTAAAATTTTATTGCTCTGCATCTAGCGTCCACCACATTTTCATTATCACCTACTTGATAGTTGATTATATATGGTTATTGCAACTTCTTTGCTTAAGGTCATAGCACCCTTGTAGTAACTCATATTTTTTTTAGGTAAAAAAGAATTAAACTCCTTTATATTCATACAAACATTGATTTTGGATAGATACTAGTCTCGCGTTCTCAAGTGTCTGTCATGTTGAAATTTTAATAGTTGTCCCTTAAAGGATGCTATTGATTTTTCTGCTTTTCCTTGTCTAAATTGCATGCACCGGTAAGGAACCTGTGAATATGACGGTGACCTGGTATGAATTTGACGACCAAATTGTAGGTAATAGCTGAGAGGCTTTCTGAAGAAGAAATTGGTGGTTTAAAGGAGTTGTTCAAAATGATAGACACAGATAACAGTGGAACAATCACATTTGATGAATTAAAAGATGGCTTGAAACGAGTTGGCTCTGAACTTATGGAGTCCGAAATCAAGGATCTCATGGATGCAGTAAGAAAATTTTTCTATCATTTAGTTAGACAAATTCAAGTCATTTGTGTTTTATGGCTGAAACAACATTTTTTTGGGTGCTTGGCAGGCAGATATTGACAACAGTGGAACAATCGATTATGGTGAATTCCTTGCTGCTACTGTGCACTTAAATAAATTGGAAAGAGAGGAGAATTTAGTGTCTGCCTTCTCATTTTTCGACAAGGATGGTAGTGGTTACATAACCATTGATGAGCTTCAACAAGCCTGCAAAGAATTTGGCTTAAGTGAGCTTCACCTTGATGAAATGATCAAAGAAATTGATCAAGATAATGTAAGTTTATTCCTTCTCCACGTGACCTATATGAATCTAATAGGACATTTTAACTATATGTTGATAAGGAAAGCGATTCAAAAGCGCAGTTCATCGGGAAAATGGGTCGCAAAAGTTTCAAGTAAAGGGATTGCTCGCGTTCTGTTTGTTAGTGTGCCTATCACTCTCTTGCTGTTGAATTTCAAACTAAAATATGCAGAAATTTTCTATTAGATTAGTTTCTTTTTCAGAAAATACTGGTGGTGAGAATTGAACCCATGATCCCAGTTCCATTTGCTCTTTGAAAATGCTGTGCTATCTTTACTGTGCCACAATGACCTTGGCAAAATCGAGAGCTAGTGAATTATTCTAAGATGTGTTTGTAACCTGAAGTTATTGGAGCCAATTTTCCAAGTTATTGCTTCATGTTAATGAAAATTTTGTGCTGCAGGATGGCCAAATAGACTATGGGGAATTTGCAGCGATGATGCGGAAGGGCAATGGAGGAATTGGGAGAACCATGAGAAACACAATTAATCTGGGAGATGCTTTAGGAGTAATAAACAAAGGATCTAATGACTTCAACTGATCTTCACTTTTAAGACTGTTGAGCCATACCGTATTTTTGTTTTAGGGGGAAGATATATTTGACCCTTTCTAACTTTACAAGTGGCCTAATCAAATTTTGCATTTCTTTGTGTTTGTCATCTTTTCCTCAACAAGAAATGCAATTTTGTGGCATAATAAGACATTCCTAAACTGAAATCAACATCCAAGACACAGGAGAATCTGTAAGACACTAACTGTAAATAGCTTTAAATAAGATTAATCAAAAACATATTCAGGCATAAGGATTTCTCCAATTTAAAGAACAATTTGTTCACCGTAGTTCAACATTATAGATATTCGGCAGAACAACTGATATAAACTACCATCAGTCAATCTGACAGAAATCTTAACTAAAATGTTTTGTCCTCACCGTCTCTTACAAGAACATGTATACAGTACATATATTATACTATAAGAACATTTATTAGCGGATAATATATGAAAATGTAGGAATTCCAAGTGGAAGATGGTTCCAAATATGCAGGTAAGCTGAAATTTATAGGGAGTTCACATTTTACTGGTCATAGCAAGGTATTTAGTATGCCGTCCCTGAGCAATAATTTTCCCAGTTTTTTTCTTCCTAATCTCAACACTGATGACACCAACAGCCTTCCCGACACGTAAAGTCTTGGCCTCAATCTCAATCTCCTCCTAAATAAACAGCAACAAAGAATTAAACATTAGCTTGCATATTTTGTTCATGAATTACAGCAAAGACGCATGCCAACCTACCTACTATAAAAAAAATAATAAGAAGAAAATAAACCCAATGTCCCCATGACAAGATGCTCATTTATAATATATAGCAAAAGAAAATCACTTAGAAAGGAGCATAACCATCTATCTTGTCAAGAAACTATGAATATCACAGCTCAACAAAAAAGTAGAGGCTTTTGAAAGCTAAAAGTCGAACTCTATTCAACAATGAATGAATGTCTTCCTCTCTATTCAACTTACAAACGTTGTATTCTTCTCATCCAAAGTACCCAAAAACTTTCCGAAACAGCCCCATTTCCACAGAACTATAGTTTTATTGTCTCTGCTTAAAGCATCTACAAACTCCAAAAACAAGGATTTGCAGGGGCAGGAATGACCCAATAAATTTTAGATATTTGAATTAATTTGAGCCACAAAACAATAGCTAAGGGGCCTGGAAACCAAGAATGAGAAATTTGATAGTAAGCTAGAGGCAACTAAACATACAAAATAAAACCATTATATCACAGGGCTTGTCTCTAGTTTCAAGTTAAATTAAAAATCCACCTACTTTGAACCTACTACATCCTAGCTAGAAAAAGTAAAGTTCTAAAAACAACACAGAAGAATTACTGTCTGAAATATTAATGAAGAAAACTGTATGAGCAAGATAATACTAGTGACAGCTTTGAAATTTACTCAGCTAAGATAATAATCATTAGAGTTACCACCACCTTCCATCCATCAACATTGCATACATTGGTTGGACAACCTGGAAGCAAGCATGTAAAGCATTTATCTTTTCTGCATCACTCTAACCACTCCTTCAACCAAGCGCATAAGTCCAAATCCTATTTCTTTTCTGCTTATTCACTTCTTATTTACCTCCCGCAATGTGTCCTATCACTAAACAAGAAAGAGAGGGGGGCAAAGAAACCTTGCTCATAAAAAAAACGAAAACCTCTAAAACTCACAGCTAGCTACAGAGCTCAAACACTTTTCAATGACATTGCTAATTGAAGACTGCACAAAGTGATTCAGAAATGGTATCTTGTATTGAATTAAAAATGTAAAAAAAGAGCAATGCTACAGTTACCGAAGAATGCGCACCGAATTCGTGCAACGAATGACATGGCGTAATCCTGACTGTCGATTAATATTAATTCATAATCAATCGACGGTCAGAATTGTGCCACATCATTCGGTGTACGAATTCGGTGCACATTCTTCGGTAATTGTATTATTTTCCGTCAAAAAAAGGGCTAAATGAGGGAGCATATCACATGAATGACATGCTTCCAGAAAATGTCAAAATGAAGAGTTGCCATACAAATTGTAGGATTTAAGCAAACTGCATATTTGAAGGCCGGATAGTGGAGTTAAATCCTAATCAATCTGCCGGCCCATGTATCATTATGATTTGGGAGTCCAAGAAAAGATGACAAGTTGTTCGGTATTTTTTAATGAAATGATTTTGGTGAAAAAAAAAAACGAATATAAGAATTTTGATTCTGTATTTTCAAGACTTGAGAATATGCTTGGTATCTTTCTTTTCATTTGTTAAGGAATGAAACTAGATTTTCCTCTTTCTGAAAATGCAAAACATGCTGAACAGGTTTTGTACATTATACGAAACTTGAAAACAAAATGGTTCCAAATGGAGCCTAAACAATCTCAATCAGTATAAGGTTCCCCACTAACCAATTATGTTTTGGCAATAGGAACAAAATTATAATTCACTCACACTATCAAAAAGTGGCAAATCAAACAAGAGCTGTATTTTTCAGGTACTGAATAAGCGCAAAACACACCCCAGTGATTCCAGCCATTTGAACTAATATAATTAACTTTAGAAAATCCTTAGCTTCCAATCTGTATTAGTGTATGAACATTTTGAAAATATTAGAGAAGTATATAAATATAAAATCATAATATAATAAAATAAATATAGATATAACATCATAATATAATAAAATAAATTTAAATATAACATCATAATATAATAAAATAAATTTAAATATAACATCATAATATAACAAAATAAACTAAGTACATGGTTATCATTATTATTGACTGTTAGGATCCCACATTGAAAGGGAAAAGGGTGGGCATGTGAGTTATAAAGGCTTGGGCACCCTCCCTTGGCAAGCCGATTTTCCAAAGAGAGTTCTACCCAAGCCCATGAAAGACCTATGGCCCAATCCAAATTGTTGAGTTATTAGAGTGGGTTCTTATCAATTGGTATCAGAGCATGATCTTGCGCCTATATGGCAGCGCACGCGTGGCAGGCTGACCTTGGGTCTGGGCTGCTACCCCGAGAAAGGGCATGGAGGCTCGGGGGAAAGGGGATCCGCGTAGTCACCCAAGGGGTAAAGAGGCCGACGGGGGTAAAGAGGCCGACGTGGACGTCGGTTGAGGATGCGTGGTGGAATATTAGGATCCTACATTGAAAGGGAAAATGGTGGGCATGTGGGTTATAAAGGCTTGGACACCCTCCCTTGGCAAGCTGGTTTTCCAAGGAGAGTTCTACCCAAGCCCATGAAAAACCTATGACCCAGTCCAAATTGTTGAGTTATTAGAGTGGCTTCCTATCAATTAGTATCAGAGCATGATCCTACGCCTATGTGGCAGCGCACGCGTGGTAGGCTGACCCGTGGTTGGCTGACCTTGGGCCCGGGCTGCTACCCCGAGAAAGGGCATGGAGGCCTGAGGGAAAAGGGATCTGCGTAGTCACCCAAGAGGTAAAGAGGCCGACGGGGGTAAAGAGGCCGACGTGGATGTCGGTTGCAGAAGCGTGGTGGAATATTAGGATCCCAAATTGAAAGGGAAAAGGGTGGGCATGTGGGTTATAAAGGCTTGGGCACCCTCCCTTGGCAAGCCGGTTTTCCAAAGAGAGTTCTACCCAAACCCATGAAAGACCCATGACCCAGTCCAAATTGTTGAGTTATTAGAGTGGGTTCCTATCATTGACCTTCCAAGAAGAACATTATTTCGACCAAAATGTGTGCTAGTGTAGTTCTGCACACACGCATAGCTAATATTGATACCACTCTATAGTGAACTATTAAAGTACATAAATACCAGGTCCTGTTGTTTATGTGTATCGACTTGCCTAAACTTACATATCAAGATGCATATATAACACAAAAAGACGAACACATGTTGAGGAGTCAAGGTTCAGGGGATTCTAGCCCTATAAAAAAACAGTTAAAAAAAAAAAGTAAATAAAAATACATATGGTGGTGGTGAGTTAAACATAATACTTGCTGAAGTTTATCCCTTCATTGTTCGCACTATATATTCTTTTTTTGCAAACAACCAATTCAATCTAGAACATAAAGGACAATCAACTACAAAAATATAACATAACAAAGAGAGGAAAAGATACTCACATCAAGATAGGCAGCATCCAAGTATGAAACATTAATCTCAACTGAAACTCCTGTTAATGGAGCTCCAGTAGTGAATATTACAGCCGAGCCAACCAAGTCCACCAGCGTGGCAGTGGCCCCACCATGCAAGAAATTACCACCATTCTTCCAAATAAACAATCAAACATAGTCCACAAGTATAATCAGAATCAAGTACTCTTAAAAAAAATCCTAAACAAAAGTTCTTGTGTGGCTCTGATTTTGAAAAGCATATTTATCATTTTCAAGTACATTACCTATAAACAGTACCCAAAAGTTCTATTTCCTCTTGTTTTTCACAAAGATTTCTAATTTGACTACAGATGGGGCTATATACGCCCATTATAACACTCTTACACGCATTTTACAAAGTAAACGTATTACTAAAATCCTAAAAAGGCCTTATCTAATCGATGATCAACAAAATTTCATTTCAATTAAGAATTACGCAATTGATTTGCTTTGAAATTTGGAAGACACATGAACTAAAATTCTAATTTTAAGAGAAGTCAATGGTGTGTTTGCTCAGAAAATGGGTTTAAGAAGAACTTCAGCCCTTGATTATTTCTGAACGGAACGATTTCTCATCACAACCAATTAAATTCTTTTAAAAAAAAAGAAAATCATTTCCAGGAAGTTAAAAAAGGACTAAATTTAATTTCTATTAATAGGGTTGCGAAAGTATTGAATTTTGTTAAGATTTGAAAGAAAAGGGACATACCAGTAAACGAGAAGGGACTTTCATGGAGCAAACGACACGACCAGGTTCAATTAGATCAACTTGAAGACCTTGCATTATAAAACGTTCAAAGTATCTCAGAGGCAATCCATCAATTGTTGATCCTTGCTTCTTCTCATCTTCTTCTTCTCCTCCTCCTTTCTCCAAATATCTCTTCACTGACTCCAAATCCATTTGCTCTTCTTGTGGGTCAGACTCTCAAAAATCAACTACTGCGTTTCTCCTTTGTTTTTTCTTCCCCAATTTTCGTGGAAGATACAACCGAGTAAAATAATCCAATTCCAAAAGTGGACATTTGAAAGTGACGAAAATACCCTCCTTCACAACTGGTTGGACAATATACTGTAATTACTTAAAAGACACTTCCAATGTGTTTGGTTGGGGAGTTATATGAGATTATTGAGATAATGTCATCTTATATTACTTAATTACCATATTTAATTATCAAGTAATATAAGATTCCGGTAATCTTCCAAACCAATAGTAATTAATGTTGGTAATATAGGAGGTAATCTAATTATTTACATTTTCTTAAGTATTTTAAAATTACTTGGTAATCTTATTTTTGTTACAATTTTACCCCTAATTATTAAAATTTTTGGACAATAATACCCTTATTTTAAAAACAATTTACAAAAATACTAATGGACTATTTTATTCTTATATATAGATTTTTTAGGATATAAATACCCCTGGGGCCGTTTGGAATGGGGGTAATAATATTATATAACTAGGGTAATATATTTTAAATTGAGTAGATGACGATGTTTGGTTAATTTGTAAAAAATTATTCTCGGAATCTTTTATGACAAATAGTGGCATTTGGGGGTAAGTTCCCACGTAATCTAATTTTGTTTCCCATATTGCCCCTAAACAGTTGAGCATTTGGTCCAAATTAGTCTTATATTTGTTAAGATTTACAAAACACTCAATTCACTCATGTAGACCCTTTTGTCCTCAATTTTTAAATTTTATGGACAACATTGCCCTTCTTATTATCACTATTTACATAAATGCCATTGTACCCAAAACTAGCCACCACTGCCAACCGCCATCGACTGCCGCCGGAGGCTGCCGAAAGTCATTATAATGGCGTAAGACTAGTAGTATATAGTTGGTTGTGTGTCGGTGAGGCCTTTTCCGGCCATGGATCACATATCCATAGTTGTTTCACGGTGAGATCTGGCTATGAAATGACCAAATCTATGGCACTACTGGCGGTCGCCGGCAATGGCTGGCTGTCAGCAGTGGCTTGGGGTGGGTAGAGATGTTTTTGTTAAGTTTAAAACGTTTTTGGTTGCAAGGGTGTTTTTGCTAAATCTGAAAAGTAGGGGGTTAAAAGAAATTATGCAAAAAATAATATTATATTAATATTTAAAAAGGAGGGCAATTTAGTAATCTATATAACATACTCACCTATTTATCCTCCCAACTAAACATATTATTCACCAATTTATTTGAATCAACCAAACACATTTTCTAAACATTCCTAGTAATCTTAAAGGTGATCTTTCTTTCCTTTAATATAATATCCCCCTATAATTAAACATTATATGATCCAAACGCCCCCTGGACGTTAAAAAAATTACCCAAGGGTGGTGGTTGGATCTAGCCCCCATTGTCGGCGCCGAAACAGCGCACAACCACCCTGGATCTGGCCGACCGTGTGTCGATTTGGTCGTTTCGACCATATCTCTAGCCAAAAACTTCCAGATCATCATAGATCCGACCGTTTCCAACCAGATCTATTTGGCCGTCGTTGACTACCAAAACTCTAGCCGTCAACGACGGCTAGATCTCTAGCCTTTGATGACAGCCAGATCTCTGGCCATCAACGACTAGAACTCTGCCCGTTAACGACAACCAAATATTTGGCTGTTAGTGATGGCCAGTTCTGGTGGTAGATTTGATCATTTTCGGCCAGATCCATGATGGATCCCACCAAAAAAATGTCATATCGGCGCATAACTAGCTATATTTGGCAGGTTGTGGGCTGTTCAGGCCACTGTCGCCGCCGCTGGCGACGGTGGCAGGCGGCTAGGAGCGACTTGGGGTGGGTGAGGGTGTTTTTGTCAAGTTTTGAACTTTTTTGGTTTCTAGGGTGTTTTGGCAATATCTCAAATGTCAGGGGTTAAAAGTGTTAGTAAAAAAATAACAAAAAAAATAATATTATATTAATATTTAAAAAGGAGGGTAATTTAGTAAATTATATAACATACCCACAAAATTTATTCTTCCCAACCAAACATATTAATATAATATATCCACCAATTTATTCCAACGAACCAAACACATTTTCTTAAACATTCCCAGTAATCTTCAATGTAATCTATATTTCCATTAATATAACATTCCTAGTAATACAACATATCTTGAACCAAACACACCCTTTAGGTCTATGCTACATAGAGTAGGAATTCACTAAATTTTAAATGACACCTCAGTTTAGGGTTAATTTTGTCAATTCGCCTTATTTATACGTTAATTGAAGTGTAATACTGCACAATATAGAGGTCAGGTAATACAACTGTGTAACATAACCAAAACAGCACTGATAAATTCCCAAAGTGGACATTTGAAGTGACAAAATTACCCTCTATCACAATGGTTTTATGTTATTTTGCTAGACCAATATAATATTTGAAAAATATAACACCCACAACTTTTTCTCACAAACTTCCTCTCACAACTTTTACGTGACAGCTCGCAATTGATTAGTTCATAATGAGTCTCACCTGATAAATTACGATTGACCAATTGCGAACTGTCAAGTCAGGATTGTGAAAAACTGTTGTGAGTGTATAATTACTCATAATATATTTGCATGTTTGTTTATGAAATCATTTTTCTATTTTTAATGTTTTTCCATCTTGTAAATTGTAAAATGTGTAATAAAGTGTTAATATATATGAAAAATGCTACGGACACCGACGTTTTGCACCGAATTTTTACATTGAACGACATGTCCATTGAATTAGACGAGCCACGTATCACGTTAACAAATATTCTGCAAATGAACAGTCGTCCATCAAATATGGACGACCGTTCATTTGAAATGGACTGCCGCCCATATTATATGGACGACCGTCCACCTAGAATGGACGCTCGTTCATAGTTTAAACTAAAAAAATTGGCCTAAATTATTTATGGACGCCCGTCCTCTTATAAGGACGACTGTCCATAGTTATGGACTACCGTCCATATATTATGGACGGGAGTCCTTTTACTATGGACGAGCATCAATATATTTTCAGATGAAATATTTATTTTTAAAGTATAAAATTTTTAAATGAAAAAAAAAAATTTGATTTTAAGTAAAAATATGGACGCCGGTCCACTCATTTGGATGGCCGTCCATATAATAGTATATGGACGACCATCCAAATGAGTGGACTGGCGTCCATTCTCAAATTTTTTTTTTAATTTTCAATTTTTTTTTCATTTATAAAGAAAAGGCAAGAGAGAAATGAAAACTGGCGTCCATTCTCAAATTTTTTTTTCAATTAAATTTTTTTTTTTCATTTATAAACAAAATGCAAGAGAGAAATGAAACCTGTTCTAGGAGGCCTAAATTTTTAAACATTGTAATTGAAAATTTTAAAGAAATTTTTTTTATTAAACTAAAATTTGGGCCTCTCAAATTGAATGTAAAATTTTTTAAATTAAACAATGGACAAACGTCCATCTAAAAGGGACGCCTATTTATTGAATGTAAAATTTTTTAAAATTTTTTGGATGAGCGTCCATCTTATATGGACGCCCGTCAATAGTAAATAGACACACGTCTATATAAGATGGACAGACGTCCATTATTTTTCTTTTAAATTGTTTTGGAAGGGCGTCCATAGTAAATGGACACCCGTCCATACAATATGAACGAAAATCCATTAAATATGAGCGGGCATCCATAAATGTTGGACGACCGTTCATTCACGAAAGACTCCAGCGTGGTCGCGTCTAACTGGTTGCCAATCATTTGGTACAAAAATTCGGTGTAAAATTTTGGTGTCTATAGCATTATATATATATATATGTTTTATTTTCATAAAACAGAGAATTTAGGAGAGAGGAGATAGAAAAAATCCAATAAAAATTGAATTTTTTTCCTTTTTCTCTTTTATCTTCTTCCTCCTTTGTAGTAAAACGCATACTTTTTTTTTTCAAATCAATATTTTTAACATAAAATTGCAAATGGGAATAAAAAATTGATATAATAATTTGAAGGGGCTTTATTAGTTGTGTAGGCGATAAATTTAATTTTTTTTTTTTTTTTTTTTGGGTGTTTTCAAGCTATCATATTGATCATGGAGTAAACGATATGTTCCCACCAAAGGCTTAGCGAAATGACAAGTTCATACCATTAGTTTCATAAATTTTAGATTTACACCCTTAAAATAATGTCATTAGTGACTATTGGGTTTTAATACAAATGCAGAGGATGTTATCACTGAATTGTCTTTTCGTCTTTTTCTTCTTTATCTCCTCTCCTTCGGTTTTACCAAATTACCCTCCCACCTTCTATGCGTGACTCTTTGCCTCCAGCAAATGTGCAACCAATGGTAAGGTAATGTTACCCCACCCACAAGACAATTCCCTATCATTTAAATATTTAAAATTAAACTAAAAAAAAAAATTTATTTTTTAATAGATAATAACATTAAACATATAAAATTTTCATTCTAAGTAGTATGATAAATGGAAAAAAAGTTAAAAAGATTTTAAAATTTTCAGTATCTCAATTTTCTTTTTGAATTAAAAACTAAAATAAATTAGACGACAGTTTTAAAATCTTTTTTAATTAAAAAAAATCTATTTGTATGAGTGAACAATTTCTATAATTTATCTACATTAGCTTCAGTTGACTCTATTTATTATTATCAATATCATTTAGTATTGTATAAAATATTTTCAAGAAAAGTCATTAATTTAAAGAAATTAATCCCTCCGTTTTATTATATTGTGTTTATACTTAAGCAATACCATAGATCTAAGTTATATTATTATTTATTGTAAAAAAAAAAAAAGAGAGAGAGATTTGGCCAAATTTAATTCTATTCTAATCATTGGGAGATTTCCGAGTCGTCCGAAGAATAATATCGTTGACTTTTAGTTAACCCTTATTGTAAATAATAATAATTTGTGTAAATTAAGATGGCAATTTCTCATTTACAATTTTGTACTGGTCCATAGGACCATAGCTAGAGTTTGGAATTAGGCAGACTTTATTATCAGAGAATTAATTATGTCAAATATT